TTGAAGGTGAGGGAGAGGTGTGAGTGAGTGAGGGGATGAAAGGAGAGAGAGTGTGTGTGTGTATGTGTGTGTGTGTGTGTGTGTGTGTGTGTGTGTGTGTGTGTGTGGTGTGTAACTAAGGGACAGTTTAACCCAACAGGAGAAGCAGAAACTGGCAGATCAGGCTCTCTTGGGCAGGGAGAAACTACCACCGCTTCGGGCATTCCTGGGACTGCGGGACTCTGGCATGGGCATGGATTCCATGCCATCTTGAAGAGGAGAATGGCCTCTTCTAGGAACTCATCAACACCACCACCCAGACAGGCCTTGGACCTTGCCTGTGACCTGACAGCCACTCCAGCCAAAATCCTTCTGCCTCACCTGCAGACCCACAGATCCTGGGACCTCCACCTTCAAGGGTCCATGCTCCTGAAGCAGTAAGTGCAACTTCCCCCTCCCCAGTGGCTTAACTCCTGACACCACAGTCCTGCAACTGCAGCACCATAGTCACACTTTTCAAGCGCACAGGCTGCCTGAGCACACCTCTCCACAGGCCGCTAGTGGGTGCTGCCGCAGGGCACTCTTACCTAAACAATGGCCTATTGCCCCAGCAGTATAAATTCTGGATCCCCCTTCCTACATATCTTCCCACAGCCACCTCAATCACTCTGATTCAGTGCCAATGCTCCTCTGGGCGCCTGAGCTCACTGCCACTTGGCTCGCACAAACCCAACCAAGGGCATAAGGCCCTCGGCAGTAGAAATACGAACTTCCCCCACTCCTAGCTGCCTTCCCAGAGACACCTCAGTCACATGGCTTCAGTTCAAGGGCCTGAGTGCATTGCCCTGGCAATCGGCCCTGGGGTACCCCTGGGAGTCACCACTGGGCGCATGCAAATTCAACCAAGGGCACAACAGCAAAAACTGAGTCTACCCAATTCACAGCTGCTGACCTCCAGACACCACAGTCATGTTTTTTTCAGAGCACAGGCCTCCTGAGCCCACCACCCCAAAGGTGGCTCTTGGGTGCCTCTCTGAGCCCTTGCAGACTGTGCATCCAAACAATGATGCACAGTCCCAGCAATAGAAATTCGATTTCCTGTGTTCTGGCTGCCTGCCCATAGACACCTGGGTCATGTGGCTTCAACACAAGGGCCACGCTGAGTGTCCAAGCAAACGGCTACCAGGTGCCTCATTGAGCCATCGCTGGGCATGCACAAATCCAACAAAGGGCATAAGGTCTCGGCAGCAAAAATTGAGTCTTTGCACCCATAGCTGCTAACCTCAGGACACCGTAGTCACGCATTTTCAGTGTGCAGGCCTCCTAAGCCTCACCACCCCAACAGATGGCTCCTAGTTGCCTCTGTAAGCCACCACTGGGCATGTACAATTTCAACCAAGGGCACAAGACAGCAAAAATTGGGACATCCCCCTCCCTGGCTGCTGACCTCTGGACACCACAGTTGTGCCTTTCCAGCACACAGACTTACTGAGCCTGCTGCCCCATAGGCAGCTTCTGGGTGCCTCCTTGAGCCCCAGCTCAGCATGCTCATATCCAAACAAGGGTGCATGGCCCTGGCAGTAGAAATTTGCACTTCCACCTTCCTGGCTGCCTACCAATGGACATCAGACAACATGTTGTGTGGTTTCAACACACAGGCCCCCTGAGGACACTGCCCCAGCAGGCGACTCCTGGGTGCCTCTGTGAGCTGCCACTAAGCGCACTTGTATCCAACCAAGGACTCAAGGCCTCACAGCAGAAACTCAGATTTCCCACCCCTCAGCTGCTGACCTCCAGTCACTGCAGTTGCACCAATCCAATGTGCAAGCCTCCTGAGCCCAATGCCCTGGAGGGCAGCCCCCAGGTGCTTCTCAGAACTGCCACAAGGCACAACCCCAGTTGCTGGCATCCCGTCCCCGCAGTAGTGCTGCTCCAGCACAAGGGACTCCTGAGTCCACTGCCCCAGCAAACGGGTCCTGGGTGCATCTGTAAGCAGCCATTGGGCATGCATATCCAACCAAGGGAGCACATCCACCAAAGCAGAAACCAGCACGTTTCCCTCCATGGAGTTGGAGGAACTCCACAATTGCTACAATCCAGTATGTGGGCCTCACAATATCACATCCCCGAGCAGAAGGCTCCTGTCCTCCTCTGTGTACTGCCACTGGGCATATGCCTCTCCAACCAGGGGAGCACAGTTCCTGAGTAGGATCCACAACATCCATATCCTAGCTGCCTACCTCTGGACAGCTTGATGAATTACTGAGAACTTGCCTCCTTTAAAAGGGTCACATTATTTCAGCCACAGACCCTGAGATTTCCACATCCCCAGCCACAGGATCCTGAACTCCCTCGTGATTCAGAGAGGGAAATCACTTTGGCCAGAGTCCCACTGCCTCAACCAGAGACTATGAGACACCCACCCCCCAAAGTCCACCCTTTATACTCTTTTCCCATTCTTTCCTTCAAGTATCTTCTCCTAGCATAATCCTGAATGGTGAAAAGAGAAACTACTGTTGAAATAGTAATCAGCAAAATACATCACTCTAGACATTAACTTAGTGGGCCTTTATGGATGATGTTTTAAAATTTTTAGTACCACTTACAGCTTCTTTTGATTTTTGAAAGAAAAGAACTGTTGCAGAATAATTTTATTTAAAGTCTAAAGATGCCAGTCCCATAAACAAAATACAACGTATTATTTATTAATACCTAAGAAAGGCAACTATATCATGTATGTCTTATCAGAAGGTATTATAAAATATTTTAAGGTTCCAACTTTAATGATAATTTCTGGTTAGTAAATTCTCTATACTACAAAAAAGTATTTTTTTCTTTCTTTTTTTTTTTTTTTCTTTTCCTTAATGATAGTGCTACAATAATTTCTTTTTAGTTATTTTTTTTTTTCCTGGAAGGTAAACCAGCAGCTTTTTAATTGAATTTATTGGGGTAACATTGGTTAATAAACTGTTATAACTTGAATATTTAAAAATATTTTTATTGATTTTTAGAGAGGTGGGAAGGGGGGGGAGAGAGAGAGAGAGAGAGAGAGAGAGAGAGAGAGAGAGAGAGAGAGAGAGAGAGAGAAATATTGATGTGAGAGAGAAATCAATTGGCTGTCTCCTGCACATGCCCTGACATGGGCTTGAACTGACAACCTGGGTATGTTCCCTAAATAGGAATAGAACTGTACACTTTCGGTGTACAGGACAACAGCCCACCTAATCACACCAGCTGGGCTTACAACTTAGTTTTAAAGCTCTTAAATAATCAAGCTTTTGAGTACAGCACAACTTTTTTTTCATTGTGTTATTAATAACACAAACTCCTCAATAATGATAATGGTTTGATCAATGCCTCTTATACAACTAATTTCTTTCACCTTCATACATCTTAAATGCTTTGTTTATACTACTATACTGCGTGGCTATATCTGTTTCTCCAGTCTAATTGGGATGCAACTGTAGTGCAGCAGAAAGAGCAGTAAAGTTATTATCAAATGCTTGTATTAAAGTATTTATTTTATAACTTAGCAGATGTGTGCCTTTAGTGTCTTAATGATCCCTGAATTATGATATGGATGTATGAAATAGTTTGGGACGTGGGTTGGAAACTCAAAATATGTGATTTCTACATCATTTTAGTGGCTGTGGAGATAGAATATTTGAAATTAAAAAATGCTGGACAAAAGGTCACCATAGACCTTAAAAAATTACTTAAACTTCCTGAGACTCTATTGTGCTATCTGTAAAATACATACAATGATGCTTACCTCACAGGATTGTTTAAGGATTGATTGAAATATTGTATGTGAAAGAGTATAGCTCAGTCTCTGGAAAATGGATGATGTTAATTAATGTTTCCTTAGGTTGGAAGGCTCCCCCGTACACAGACACACACTCCCCTCCACCATCACCCAAAAAAAATCTCCAAAATTCAAATAGCTTTCAAGAAGCAGCCCAGCCAAAACCGGTTTGGCTCAGTGGTTGAGTGTCAGTCTGCGGATTGAAAGATCCGGGGTTCAATTCCAGTCAAGGGCATGTACCTTGGTTGCGGGCACATCCCCAGTAGGGGGTGTGCAAGAGGCAGATGATGGATGATTCTCTCTCATTGACGTTTCTAGCTCTCTATCTCTCTCCCTTCCTCTCTGTAAAAAATCAATAAAATATATTAAATAGAAGAAGAAGAAGAAGAAGAAGAAGCAGCAGCAGCAGCCGCCGCCGCCCAAAAGACACTACTCTACCAAGACTATTCAAACAACTTTAGTAATTTGATTAATAGTACTAGGCTTTGGAATCAGAAGAGATCCACAAGTTTAAAGTAAGAATTGCCATTAATTAGTAACTCCATAACCTTGAAAAACTTACGTGTTCTCTCTGCATCTAGATTTTCCCTCTGTAAAATGATATAATCATGATACATATTTCATAAGGTTATGAAGTATTAAATGAGATATGTAAATTTGAGTTCCTAGCTTAGAAAGTCCTCTATGAATATTACACAGTATGAATAGTAGTAATAGAAAGTTCTCTTTTCAGTAAAATGTGAATAAAAATACCTCTAGAGTAGGGGTGTCGAACTCAATCAGGGAAGGGGCCAAAATCTAAAATCCAGCCTAAATCGCGGGCCAAATGGTTTACTGAACAGTCATAAACTGTCATTGTGATGGAAACGCAGCGGAGTGCAGTGATGACAGCGCGGTGCGGGCCACATTGCCAGGCCTGGCGGGACGGATTTGGCCCGCGGGCCTTGTGTTTGACACATGTGCTCTAGAGTGTGGCAAAGTTCTTATGCTAAATTATTTTAAACTGTAATGCTGAACAAACGTAAAATGGTTTGTACCTTGAGATATTTGGGGCAAAGCTAGAACCCCACTTTTACAGAATATACTTTTTTATACTGTAGTGGGGGTGGGAGTGGGTAATAATACTCATTATTAATTAGTAGAAAGTAAAACTAGAAGACACTAGTAAGCCCTCCGGATACAAGCAGCAGAAGACCAAAGAACAGTTTTAAGATCAGCACTGGAAGACCGGACCTCCATAATTCCCAGGCGTTCACCACAGACGCCCCTCTTTGCTTAGAGCTGCGCAAGCGTACAGTGATTTGCTCTTTTCGCCATCGTGCCCCCGCCTCCAAACCCCATCCTGTCTACCATAATACGCAGGCGCATCTCCTCAAACCCGTTCCCTTCCATACACTTCTCTCTCTTCATTGCGTTCCCCCTGAACTTCCAGCATCTCAGCAAGTTCAAACTCTTCTGCCTGAGGGTGGCGGCGAACGAGAGGTCACGTGATGAGCATCTTGCTGCCCAACATGGCGGAATTCGACACCATCTCGGAACTTGAGGAGGAGGAGGAAGAAGCAGCCACGTCCTCGTCCTCGTCGTCGCCGTCGTCGTCATCGTCGGTATCGGGGCTCGAGGATGACGAGGAAGATGAGGAGGAGGAAGAAGAGGAGGAGGAAGAGGAGAAAGAGCAAGAGGAGGAGTCGCCGCCACCGCCTCGGGTAGTGAGCGAGGAGCACCTGCGGAGATATGCCCCCGACCCTGTACTGGTGCGGGGCGCCGGCCACATCACCGTGTAAGCGAGAGGGGGTTATGGGTTTTTTTAAGGCTGAGATTTGGCGACAGACAAATGAGGTGATCAAGGGGCCAGTGCAGTAGGGGGTGGGGGGTTTACTGAAGCATACATTTAGGAAATGACACCTGAGGTAAATGGAGAAATCTGAGAGGGAAGTGTATTAGGAAGTCAGAATGCAAATGTGATGCACCAAAGCCATGTAAATAGTGAGCGCAGGACAGGGGGATGAGGAGTTTAGGAGCCAGAAGGTGAGTGCCCTTGCTTCTCTGTGTATGCTGGCAAGTGAAAATACTCTTTCAACTGCAGGATGTATCAGATTATTTGCTGCTAAGATTGGTGTCTGGTGGAATAAGTGACTGCTGTGACATCTGACAAGACTTTGTTTCTTCAAAACAGAAATATGATATAACATTCCCACCCACCTACATAATCATCCAGCCATTCTTCCTATCCAATCCTTAAATGAATAAATACAGTTATCCTTTCCATGTCCTGATCACGATCACTCTCACTATCCCTAAATATCATACAATTAGAGGTTCAGGTTGAAAGACAGCTATGAAAGAGGTTCAGGTTGAAAGGCAGCTATAAAAGTAGAAAGAGTAATGGATTGAAAGTGATGGCTCTTGGTTGTTAGTCCCAGCTTTGCTTCTTTCTAACCCTGTGACCTTGGTCAGGTTACTTACCATTTCTATGTTTTTATTTCTCTCTCTGTAAAATGAGGGTTTTTGGATAGATGGTTTCTAAAACCTTTCAGCTCTGAGATAATTTAAGATACATACTTTCAAGAGATTTTGTATGCCAAAATGTTAAATATGCAAACATTAATATATATATGAAAATTGGTGCCCCAGAAGCTGAGGATGATATTGTGAAAACTTATGCAGAATGACTGTTGTTTTTTAAGACAAAAATGAAATTTTGGGTAATATTTGAGAAAATAAAAAGGGGAACCTCATAACATAATAACTGCAAAGCAAAAAGAAATGTTAATGGTTCTCTGGGCTTTGAAGACTGCATTCTCATTTTTATGTGCTTGGGTTGTAAATACTTGAAAGTTTGAGTACTGTGTCATGTTCATCCTCTTAACTACGCTATCTTATACTGCATTTTCAAATAGAGCTATTATTTTTTTACTATCAAGTCATGCTGCCTCTAATTTTAATAATTGCTCCCCCTACCCCTTTTGATTTTCAACTGAGTTTGTATTATCTGAAATCATATGTTATAATACACATATTATACCACCTCCCTCCATCATGTTAGTTTTGTTAAATCCTCACTCAAGGATATGTTTTACTGTTTTGAAAGACAGACAGACTGACAGACACCGATTGGTTGCCTCTTCCACAGGCCTTAACTAAGACAGAACCTGAAACCCAGGCCTGTGCCAGACCGAGAATCAAACAATCAAACATACAGCCCTTCAGTGCACAGGATGACACTCCAACCAACTGGCCAGAGCCCATCACCTTAGCTTTTGATTTTAACATGTTGGGTTTATTTTTTGTAATATATTTTTGTACTCTTTGCATGAAATATATTAAGAAAGACTTTTAAAGATTTTAAATTTTCAAATGTATTAAGAAAGATCATTTACAGGATGAGTTTGGGGATATTTTAACACCTGCTCCTTGGTTAGGCAATTCTAATAGTTTTTCTTGGTCCAAGAATGTTATCAATAGATTACAATGACCAATGCCAGCTTTCTGCACTGTTTTACTTTCATCCCTTTTATCACTAGGGAAACTTTTTTTTAACCCCAACTAATTATGGTGCAAAAGGTTACTTTCATGTAGATTATTTAACATGAGTGAACAGAAAAAGGGTTTTTATTCCAGGCTATATTATATATTCCAGAACTCCTCACCCTATTATAATATTTTCTAAAGTTCAGAGAACAGACAGGGAGCAAAACAAAACAAAACAAAACAACAACAAAACAGAATTTAAGTTTCCTGAAACTCATTTGTGGTTCCATTCACACAATCATGGTGAAGTACTTACCAACCTATTTGTCATTAAAAACAAAGCACTGACACTTGTCATGTGCAGGTCCTTGTGATAGGTATAATATTCCTCCCAGTTTAAAGACTCTGGAATTAGGAGTGTGAAATAGTGGTGTTTGTAGCAACTGTTGCTATTAATTGAAACCAAAACCTGAAAAACAGAAAACCAGTATTTAATTGCTAACTAATGCATATAGTTTGGAAAATTATTTTGTATTGTACATATTCTCTCAACATTTGACATCAAATGTCTGAGATTTGATAAAAGATTAAATGCTTAGGAGAACTGAGACTCTGGTCTGTCAATGGTAGAAAAACTTTTTTTAGTAGGTAAAGTAAGATCCTTAGGAAATAGTTAATTTAATTCTGAGACATCTTTATCAGGTTCTGTTTAAAAAATTTTTTTCTGGCTTAGGAGTGTTAGAGTTACCTACCTGAATAAAATATTTCTTATTCTGTCTCACCTCTTCTTTTTTCCATCCTCTGTGCAGTCATCTGTTCTATAGAGGACTTAGTTGTTTTTATTTTTTTCAAAATTTAAATTTTGAGAACCATTACTTCAATCTCAGTATACTTCAAACCCAGCATTTCCCCTCCCCACATTGGCTGTGAATTCCAATTGCCCCTTCTGACCCTGATACCACCATTCTAATTTCCTGGGGTAATATTTCAAATCCTTAAGTCATTTTACCTCTTCATTCTCTTTGAATGTCCATCTAGCCCAAAATTATGTCATTGTGCATTTTGATATGTCTATTATATTTTTTTAATGTTATCTATTTCTACTGGCATTGCTTTATTTTGGGTTGCCATCATCTTCTACTTGAATTATTGGCACAGACGGCCACCTCTCCCCACTCTAATCTATCCTGCATGGATTAGAGTGGGGAGAGGTGGCCGTCTGTGCCAATAATTCAAGTAGGAGATGATGGCAACCCAAAATAAAGCAATGCCAATAGAGATTTGATAAAAGATTAAATATTTAGGAGAACGTCTTGTGCCAAACTAATTTTCTTAAAACACAGTTTAATTATGTCACTTTTTTTCCCCTGCGGAAAAAAAAATCAAAAAAAAAACCTGCATTGGATCTTAATTAGATCTGAATTCCTGTGCTCTCTCCCTCCAACCTCTGAGGTCAGGGAGTCTCTCTATTTGTACCTTCTCTAGCCCTCTCTCAGATCATGCTCCATCAGGCAGCTCCTGTCTTTCTAATACTCCTCTGCTTCTCTATTGACTCAGCTTGTAAATATATTGAGAATAATTCTTTAAACACAAAATAAAACCAAAGCCTTCCTAGACCTATATTTCCTCTTTATCTACTGTCTAGTCTCTCTTCCTTCCTTTTCCAAATTTCTTAAGTGCTGCTACATTCTCCATATCTATTTTCTCTTCACCTCTCTGTAATCTGGATTCTGCTACCATGACCACAGATGAACTGACTTTAAGATCACCATCACCCTCTTGTTGCTAAATTAGTGGGCATTTTATTCCCTTTCTGTTCCTCATGGCCGCATATGATAATTATAATGACTCCCTTTCTTGGGCTTCTACTCTGGGAGTCACAAACACATAGGCCTTCAGAGACAAGACAGGTCACAGACAATGATGCAGCATGAGTTAGTGATGGGGCCTTACTTGAACTGGAAAGTATATATTTTCCTAAAGGTATTTAAATCCTGACTTAAAAAAAAATTTTTTCCATCCACAAACCTCCCCCCCAAAAAAAAAATTCATTGGCCACTTCACTCTCATTGTTCTCCTTGTATTTTTGTGGCTAAATATTAACTGTCTCATTCGTGGGCTTCTCTTTCTCTCTTGCCCCTTGAATACCAGTACTACCCAGGGTTTTGCTCTCAGCCTACTATTTTTCTCATTCCTTGCTCCCTAGATGATCTCATCTTGACTCTTCATGGTTTCAATTACCTGATGTCTCCCAAATATGTATCTCTGTACCAAGACTCTGCTCAGACTCTTACTTGGTTTTCCTCACCTTATGACCCATCGTTATCTTAAATTCAACATACCTAATACAGAACTCATTCCACCCATACACATCCTCACACCCCTATCCTAGCCCCTCAAAAAATCTCATCTATTTTTGTATTCTCCATCTCAGTTCATTGTACCTCTACTGATTTTGTTATTCATCCTTGGTTCCTCTTTCCCACTCACAATTTTCACAACTAAGCAATCAGCAAGTATTAACAATATATGACCCAGACTTTTATTATTTTTCTCCCCTACCACCACTTCCCTGATCCAGGCTTTATTCATCACACTAACTAGTTGTCTTGCCTTCATCTTTGTCACCTTCACATCCATCCCAACCTGTTGCTAGATTAAGACACCACTTTCCTGCTTAAGACTATTATGGTGTTTACCTACAGGATAGAATCTAAACTCCATAATGTGACTATAGAACTGGACCCTACCTATTTATCAGCCTCATCTCCCAACATTTCCCCTTACTGATTATATGTTCCTGTTAATAGCATTCTGTTTCTTCTCTCTTTGTCTCTAAGAAGGGGCCTTCATCTGATATTCTCACTTTAGCTCTCCATATGTCACCAACTCCTGCAAGTCTTCTCTACCTCCACTACATTATAAACTGCAGTGGCAGAAACAATTTTTGGTTCCACCTTGAATCCTCAGTGTGTGCCCTAGAATAGACACTCAATAAAAGTGAGTTGAATGAATTTTTGTTCACTTCAATAGCACCCAATATTAGTTCACTTTAGTAATAGCATAGTGCATACTATATTATAGGCCCTCAACAAATACTAGTTAGTTGAATCATGCTATGGAGAGTACTTGTGATTCTGAGCATAAGTATATATGTATACAATAATATCATCAGGATGGGAGTATGGAATGGCTTTACCTCTGAAAGCTTTATTAAGCAAGCCCATGTGTCAGAATACCCATCTACTTGTATCTTCCTAATATATTGACATTTAGTTCTTCAACAAGATATTCATCTTTTAACGTGAT